GAGGAGCAGGAGAAAGAGGAGGAGGACGAGGAGGAACAGCAGGAGCAGGAACAGGGGGAGGAGGAGGAAGGAAAGAGGGGGGAGGGTGGGAGGGGGGGAGTGGGGGGGGGGAAGAGGGGGAAGGAGGAGGAAAGGGGGAGGAGGAGGAGGAGGGGGAGGAGGAGGACGAGGAGGAGGAGGAGGAGGAGGAGGAGGAGGTGGTGGAGGAGGAGGAGGAGGAGGAGAAGGAAAAGGAGGAGGAGGAGGATGAAGAGGAGGAGGAGGCGGACAGGGAGGAATGAGAGGAAGAGGAAGAGAAACTGGAGGATGGGTTAGAGTTAGAGTTAGAGGAGCGAGGACGAGGAGTAAAAAGGAGGGGGGTAAGAGACAGCGTCAATCTAGCCGGGTCGGGCGACTCGGAGGGCCCAGGCTACTCCCACCCACGTTCCCACAACTAGAATGAGGTTAGCTTAAGGTCGGGCATGACCCCCTACAGGCGAATTTGAAACGAAAAACTGTAAATACAAAGCAAACAAACAAAAAACACAAACAACAACAAAAGAATTAAACTCCAAGCGCACAATAAAGATTATCAAAAATCGTCCCCGAACCTATTTTTGAACATTCCTCCTGTAGCGGGACAGGCCCGACTGAAGGTTAGATTGAGGGATCCGATCGGATAGGGTTCGGCCACCGTGCGGGCCACGGACTGACAGAGGGAAAGTGCGAGCAGGCGGACATGTTTCGGGCTGCGCTGCACGACGAGACGGGGGGACGAGGTAGGACGACGAGGAGGAAAAAGCAGGACGGGAAGAGGAAGGCGCCGGGCGCCTGCCTCAGAAACCGTCCCATGTCCTGGCGGATCGTCCCGTGCGGAAACAGATCGACCGCTTGGCGCGTGAGTGCCAGACGCGATTGCTGCCGCTCTGAGGAATCCCCACGTTGTTACGATCGCCACCTGGCTCCGATCCTCCATCGGGCATTTGGTCAATGCCGAATTTAGCCAAAAATTCACTCTGCGGCCGCTGTCTTCCCACGTGTCTTCGGACTGCGGAATCCACCCCACCATGCGGCGCAGCTTGTGTCGCTGCACGACGTCCAAGCGATGACCAGGAGAGACCGTCAACGAGCAAAAGTCAAAGGAATAACACACGGTTGAAATTACAATCACTTCACGCAAATTGAACGGAAGAGAAATTCTGACATGCGTGTTGGTCGACACGTGCTGGAACGCATTGAATGTTATCCATGCGCGGCCGATGCGATTGTCGACTGCTCAATGGCCTTGATTCTTCAAGTCACCTGTGGAGCATCTGCCCCAGCATTTCTGCCTGGATGCCGCGCGCAAGCGCCACACTCTGTGATCACTCGGTGGGCTCCGTCGCCATGATCTTCGCCGTCTTTCCATGCAGCTCCAGACCGAAATGCTCCAGCGCAGCCGATTGTGATTCAAGCATGGGTATTGCCTCGTCCAGCGACTGTGCGAATAACAAAATGTCGTCGGCATAGCGGACGTCCGTCAGCCAAACGCCGTTCGGATCTGGCATCACAGTCGTACATAAAACACTGCGGATTTCAGCCGCAAGAGAAGGGCAATATACAGGAACACACGTAAAACACCAAGGACTCGTGCCCCAAGGGAGGCCCAAGTATAGGGACATACGTAAAACACTCAGGATTGGATACACAGGAGAAGGAGACTCTATAGAAACTTACATAAAACACCCAGAATTCGTGCCCGAGGGGAAGCACAATCTATAGGAGCATACGTACAACACATGGGATTGGAGCCACTCCTGTGGCCTTCTGAGGCCTCCTGCTCCTGGGGCCTCTTGGGCCTCCTAGTGCCTTCTGGAGCCTCCTGGTGCCTCCTGGCGCTTCCTGTGGCCTCCTGGGGCCTCCTGTGGCATCCTGGGGCCTCCTGGAGCATCCTGGAGCCTCCTGAGGCCTTCTGTAGCTTCCTGGGGCCTCCTGGAGTCTCTTGGGGCATCCTGTGGCCTCCTGGAGCCTGCGGAGCCTCCTGTGGCATCCTGGAGAGGATCCGTGCCCACGAGTGTGGCCACCAAAACAGGCATACCGAGACATCCTCAAGTTCTAGCCCCACTTGAGGGCGAAGATGAGCGCCTCGCTCGAGACATCCTCCAAATCTGCTCCGAAAGCGGAGGATCTCGCACTGGCAAACAGGCAAACCGCTCAAGACATTCCCGCCATTCTGGCGCGAACTGAGGAGTGCAATACTCCCTGGCGGCTCCCCCTGGGGGTGCTGAAACCCGCGCCTCGCTCGAGACATCCTCAGAATCTGCTCTGCCGTTAATATTATTATTATTATTATTATTATTATTATTATTATTATTATTATTATTATTATTAGTAGTATTATTATTATTACTGCTACTATTAGTAGTAGTATTATTAGTAGTATTATTATTAGTATTATGATTATTAATAATATTATCATTAGTATTATTATTAGTATTATTACTAGTGTTATTATTAGTATTATTATTATTACTATTACTATTACTACTAATATTATTATTACTATTACTATCAGTATTAGTAGTATTCATATTAATATTATTATTATTCTTATTATTATCATTATCATCATCATCATCATCATCATCATCATCATCATCATCATCATCATCATCATCGTCATCATCATCATCATCATGATCATCAGCAGCATCATCATCATCAGCAGCAACAGCATCAGCAGCAGCATCAGCATCATCATCAGCAGCATCGGCATCATCATCAGCATCATCATCATCAGCATCATCATAATAATCATCATCATCATCATTATCATCATCATCATCATCATCATCATCATCATCATCATCATCATCACAATCATCACCATCAGCATCAGCATCATCATCAGCAGCAGCATAATCAGCATCATCATCGGCAACGGCTTCATTGTCGTCATCAGCATCATCATCATCAGCATCATCATCATCAGTAGCATCATCATCATCGTCATCATCATCATTGTCAGCATTGCCATCATCAAAAATGACATAGCATTGCAAAACATACCATATCATATCACACCATACCAAGACATAACATAGCATAGCATAGCAAAGTATATAATGGCATGCTGGAACATAACATAGCATGCCATATCAATGTACAAAGCATAGCCTAACCTAGCAAAACAAAATATTGCGTACTATAACATAACATATCGTACCATAGCATAACTATCAGAAGAAAATATAACATGGCATAGCATAGCATGAAGAGGAGGAGGAAGGAGTGAGGAGTTGGCGCGGTCCGAGTAATGACAAGAACCCCATACTTCGGATAATTATGGGGCACAAGAACCCCATCCTTTGGATAAGGGAAAAGCATGATGCTCGGAAACTCTGTTTTTTCTTCAAGTGGGGGGGCGCCTTCTTGGATACCTGCGTGGATGTTTTTGGATGCCTCCTGGCTAGGAGCCTCTTGGCGCTTCTTGGGAGCCTCTTATGGGCATCTTGAGGGCCTGTTGGCGGCCTCGGGGATCATCTTGGGGCGGAGGACTCGAAAAGTCAGCTCGGGTTCCCTCTGTTAAGCCCCTCTTGGGGCCCTCTTGGACTGTCATCGGGGCTTCTTAGGCCGTCTTGGGGCCCTCTTGAGGCGTCTGGGGGACCTTTGGGGCCGTCTTCACGCTCCTTGGGGGTCTCTAGGAGGCTTCTTGGGCTGTCTTAGGCCGTCGGCAGCTATCGAAGGCGACAACGAACAAAATCCTTCTAGAACCCGCAGGAAAACATGTTTGACGGCCTCCGAGCCTCTGGGGGACGCGCTGGGGGCTCTCTTGCGGAACATTTGGGGTCGTCTTTTTTTTGGTTGACACCCGGTACCCGCAAGCTGTGGCGGCACCAGACACCAGCCCCAATAAAGGACAGGCCAGTGGTGGTACGGCACCCGTGCATCGTGATGGCACCAGACTGGAAGAAGAAAAAACGCGATAAACATAAACTCCTGGCGCTAGACCCCCCTCCCTGGCGCGCGGAGCGCACCAGGGGCGGCGCAGGAGGCGCCGCCAGGGGGGGGGCCCAGTGCGGATCCAAGAAATCCGCGCGGAGCGCCAAAAGTCATGTTTATGGAGTTTTTCTTCTTCGATTGACACCAGCCCCAGAAAAGAACAGGCTGATGGTGGCGCAGCAAGTGAACAGTGCGGTGGCACAGGCGATACGTGTAAGACGCCCTCGCCGAGCCAAAAAATAAAGTTGGAACAACTTAGAAACGGGCCCTAGAGAGAAACGTGGTGCACTAAAAGCGCAGGCTGACGGTGGCGCGTCACCCGTGCATAGTGGTGGCACAAACGATATACAATCTCATAGGGAATGTGCAGGGAGTGTAGACCCTCACAGACCTCCCAAGGAAACGGCAACCCTTCCCGCACTCCGCTGGTCTGAATAAATCAGGCCGGCAGGTGGCAAGATTCGGGGAGGCCACGAGGCCTCGAGATGCACCAGTGTCGCCGTGAATCGCAGCCCTTCGACAGACCGCGATAATTCTCCAATCAGTGCTTGCACTGCAGCGGTCCTAGGAAATTCTGAAAATTTGGCGAACGTCCTGGGCCGATTACGGTAGGCGGCCGAGTTCCCGAGTTCCCAATTCCAAATTCGGGGTTCCCATTCCTGGGTTCCAGATTGGTTCCGGTAGGCGGCTGCATTCCTGGGTTCCCGGTTTCCGGTGCCAGGGTTCCTGGCAGTGTAAGGTGGGTTGGGCTCCAGGGTTCCCAGTACCCGGTTCTGAGGTCTTGATCAGATGCCGACGCAGAGAAATACGTTCAGATTCCCGCGCGTACGTTTACTGCAAGTAGATATTCCCCAATCAATGCTGTCATTGAATGGGTCCTCTTGGGCCGTGTTGGGGCTCTCCTGGGCCAGTTCGCTGCCATCTTCGCTGCATGAAGGGCCTCTGCGGGCCGTCACAGGGCCATGTTGAGGCTGTCTAGGGCCGTCCCCGTGCCCCTCTCACGTCGTCTATATTGGAGGCTTCTTGGGCCGTTTCAGCCGACGGATACCCAATAAGGCGAAAACGCCACAATCCTTTTGAACGGAAGGGGAATTAGTGCTTTTGGCCTCTTCGGGCTTTCTAGCGAAACCGCCGCCAGGCAAGGTGCCCGCCAAATTATCAAGCCATACACTGGTTGGGGCTTTTTCTCGGGAGTGATATCTTACAAATTGTGGCGGTCTGTACAGGTTGAGCATGAGAGCTCAAAACTTGCCCCGACGCCTCCGGCATTCGGCTGGATGCAGCATTGCCGACGTGGCCGCCGGCCATGTTCGACCTCGAAACCGCACACGCTGCGACCGCGAAGGCCATGGCACAGCAGCCAAAAGCATGTACCGACGATGGCGGCACAACACTGGCATGCTTCAACTGCTACTCCTGATACAGAGACTCTGCCGGCGAATCGGGACATCCGCTGGCTCCCAGTCTGTGGCGTCCAATCAGTGGATCGGCACGTCGCGTCCCTGCTGCTGCAGCGATGGTACGTGTACGAACTTATGAAACAAAAAAACTGAGCGGACTTTGCGGCAGCCCCCGACCTACGCGGCGCGCTCCAGCGCCTCAGACCACCTCGCGAGCGCCCTCGGGCGAGCCTGACCTGTCCCGCTGGACGCACTCCGCGGCAGAGCAGTCCGCGCTGCCGCCTGCACCGAGGGACATCCCCGACGGGCCTGACCATCGACGCCGTGAAAAGATCCTCGACGCCATCCCCACCGGCAAGATGTGCGGGGGAAGGCCCGGCCCGAGATTGGCAGTGACGCTGCGGCGGATGCGCCGCCTCTGAGCCGCCTCTGCGAACACGCCCTCCTCGGCGGCCTCCCCTGCGTCGCTGTCGACCGGCTCGGTGAACAGGCCGCAAGCCGACCAACCCGTCCACGGAGAGGGCGGCGACCTCGAGAAGCCGGGCCGAGAGCCCCTGCGAGAGGCACTCGCATGCAGCAGGAGCGCCTCCGAAGCGCCGCCGCCATCGGCCTTCGCGGGAGCCGGGGACGGCTTCCGCCGCGCGGCCCGCGGGCCCGCGATCACCATCGCCGCGACGCTGGCCTGGCCAGGGGTCCTGCACTCGGGGTCGAACTGGATGACCTCGATGCTGTTGCTGAACCAGGGGCGCATGGGGCACACCATCTGCCGCGGCTCGCTCGGCCCCGCAGCTGGGCCCGCGCGCTCCGTCTCGCCTCGGAGCCGATGGCTCGGAGGCTGGCCGCAGCCCAAGAGGCGTGGACAAAAAAAAGACTTGAGTCAAAATGGCTGCGGAGGCGTCTTGGGGTCGTCTTGGGCCGTGTTCGGCACATCTCGGGCGCTCTTGGAGCACTCGTGGCTCTTTTTCGGGTCATCTCGTCAACTCGGGCCTCTCTTGGGCTGTGTTGGGGGTATCTCAGGCTGACTGGGAGGCCGCGTGGGCCGTTTCGAGGCCTTCTGGAGGTCCCGGGGAGGGGGTATCAAAACTGGCTGACCGATGCTTGCGAAGTGGTCAGCCCTTGGTCCGGAATGGCGCTATGCGTATATAGCGTCACTCCAAACTGTGCTTGCACCTAGGGTATCTTACTTCTTTTCTGAGGAACCGGGCTCTGTTGTCGAGCCCACCGCCTTGTAATCGCCGTCGCCGCCCCGTCGCAGCCCCGTCGTCTGGGCTCCGTTGTCGGATCCACCGCCTTGTGGTCGCCGTCGACGCCCCGTCGCCGCCTCTTCGCCGCCCCGCCGCTGGCCCGCAACGAGTTAGTCCAGGTCGCAGTGGAAGCGGCTGGTCTTGCGGGGCAGCGCTGTCCTCGCGAGCTGCTGATCATTGACCTCTGCCACCGTTGCCGCCTTGTTGTCAGGCTCATCCAGGCATCCTACCGACAAGCCAAAGCAAGGCGACCACGGAGGGGATGAGGATACTGCCCAGTAGTGCCAGGTTGGAGACTGTCCTGCCGAAGCCGTCGCTGTTGCCATGCAGGCTCCTTGCGACTCGGACCCGCATGGGGACGGAAACCATACCACACTTGGAGCAACAGTTGTAAAACTGGAACCTTTGATGATGCGAAAACGTGGCGAAATAGGTTCATCGACCGGCTTCAAGCGATTCGAAATGCGCAGCGTGCTCACTAAGAGGCAAGCCAGCAAGACTGCAACCAATCCGAACCCAAGCATTGGCCCAATCGCGTGGTATAGCGCAAATGCGTGCGCCCCACTGCCAACGCCGGGAAGTTGTGATTTTGCGGGGCCGAAGCATTGCTGCCGCCTTGGGTCGACATACCTCTACACCAGGCCATCTCTCCCAAAAAACAGTACACCCACAAAGCCACTTGCGGTCGTTGGCGTTGGCTTCGTCGCGCCTGTGCGTGACGTGGGCGAATCACCGTAAGGGTTGCAGAACAGCCATACGCAAAGGCTGCTCAAGGAATGAAGGGTGGTACCAATGTGAAGCCCACATAGCAGCGGGGCATCCTGGACGAGCGAGGAGGAAGAGAGGACGAGGGAGAGAAATTGGAGGGGGATCGAGCGAGCGAACGAGCGACAAAAAGGGAAGGAGGAGGAGGAAGAGGAGTGGGGAGGGGGAGGAGGAGCGAGGAGGGAGGAGGGGGAGGGAGGAGGTGATGGAGGAGAGGAGGAGGAGGAGGAGGAGGAGGAGGAGGAGGGAATGCGTGTCCACATCGCACTCTGCGCGTCCCCCGTGACTCGCGAGCTGGGAGACCTCCCAGCTCCCCAACCAACCAAAACTGCAGGGGGGAGCGAGAAAGAAAGCATGGCGGCAAGATACTGAGATGTCAGCGGCCCGTTTCCCCTCTCTATCGAGAGTGCGTTCGCTCCGGCGCTGAAGCCCACATAGCAGCGGGGCATCCTGGCCGAGCGAGGAGGAAGAGAGGACGAGGGAGAGAAATTGGAGGGGGATCGAGCGAGCGAACGAGCGACAAAAAGGGAAGGAGGAGGAGGAAGAGGAGGGGGAGGAGGAGGGGGAGGGGAGGGGGAGGGGGAGGAGGAGGAGGAGGAGGAGGAGGAGGAGGAGGAGGAGGAGGAGGAGCAGGAGGAGGGAGGGGAGGAGGAGGAGGAGGGGGAGGGGGAGGATGGAGGATGAGGAGAGGAGGAGGAGGAGGAGGAGGAGGAGGAGGAGGGAAGGAGGAAGAGATGGAGGAGGAGGAGGAGGAGGGAAGAGGGAGGAGGAGGAAGAGGAGGGAAGAAGAGGAGTGGCGTTTCAAGCTCGCGCTCCCGCGGCGGCGGCGGCGGGCGGCGGCGGCGGCGGCGAGGACCGAGGCCAGGGGCCGGGCCTGGGCGAAGCGCTGGGAGAAGTAGTCGTAGAGGACGTGGGCACGGTCTGAGAGTGCGGGGAGCGGCTTGTCGTTGCCCATGCAGAAGGTGGGCTCCTGCGGGTAAGGGGGTCCTCCTCCTCCTCCTCCTCCTCCTCATCCACCTCCTCCTCCTCCTCTCCTACTCCTCCTCCTCCTCCTCCTCTCCACCTCCTCCTCCTCCTCTTCCTCCTCCTCCTCCTCCTCCTCCTCCTCCTGCTCTTCCTCCTCCTCCATGTTCCTTTCCTGCTCTTCCTCCTCCTCCTCCTCTTCCATCATTTTCCTTCACAAATAACGCGCCCGTGTCGCACCCCGAAACTTGTTGGTAGGGCGGGCCAGGCGTTTCGCGTGAGTTCTCCGCATCACGCATGGTCCTTAAGCTGAGAATGTGCAACAGCTTTACGGATGGAGGGCGGATAGTTTTCAAAATGTGCTTCTCGCCCTGGCGTCGCACGAATTCGTTTTAGAAAGTTGCAGAGGCTTCACGGATGGAGGGCGGATCATTTTCAAAATGCTGCTCTCGCTTTAGAGCCGCGAACCCTCGTGTTGAAACATTGCTGAAGCTTCAGGGATGGATGACGGCCAAAATGTGGCTTTCGCCGTAGCACCGCGCACTTCTTTTTTCTTTCTCAAGTTCACGATGGCTTGAAGGAGTGTTATGGTGAGCGTCCCAGACATGGCGTCATGGCACTATGCATGACTGTCAGAGGGCAAAAGATATGTTGATTCGCGATGTTGGGGTCCCAGGAAAGGTGTTCTGGCACGTCTGGATCGTCAAGACGCATCTGTAGTGTTGATTCGCGGCGTTGATGTCCCAGCAGCGGTATTCTGGCACTGCTCAAGATTTTCAGATGGTTGCCCTTCAACGAGTCGCTCCCATCAGTGAAAATGAATCCTTGTAGGGGCCGATGAACAGGGAACTTGGAGGGAGGGTTTCTTGCAACATCGTTGATGGGTTTGGGGCTTACACGGGTCCTCATCCTCCTCCTCCACTTCCTCGTCCTCCTCGTCTTCTTACTCATAATCATATTATTAGTGCCCTTCATTGTGTTATGTTTCGCATTCTCCTTTAATACTAGAAGCATGAGTAGTAGCATTATTATGTTTAGTAGTAGTCTGATTATCGGTATTGTTAGCAATAACATTAGTATCCTGAATGGCATTGGTATGAGTTCCGTCTTCTTACTACTCTTACTCATGTAGGCAATATTACTATCAATAGCATTTGTCATATGATTGGACGTAGTAGCATGATTAATACGTTTGTCTGCGTGTTGTTTCCTATCAAAGTCCTCGAGTACTGTTTTCGTCTCAGTATTGTTTGCACTCTTGCGATAATGACTCATCGTCGTCCTTTTCCTCCTCCTCCTCCTTCTTCTCCTCCTCCTCCTCATTCTCCTCTTCTTCCTCCTTCCTCCTCCTCCTCATCCGCCTCCTTCGCCTCCTCCTCCTCTTCCTCCTCCTCCTCTGCCGCCTGCATCCTGCATACCGAGGGCCATGGAGTTCACCGAACGAGGCCTCCCCCCACCCCAGCGGCAATTGCTACTGGGGGGGTGATCGGCTCCCCGACAGCGCCGTGCCACCAGGGACGGTCAAAACTGGGGTGGAACTAGATTTTCGCTCTCGACGACCTCCAACCATCATTCGGCGACGAGCGAGGGGGGGGAGTGAGAAGGAGAAGGCCCTCTCAGAAGGCGGCGGGATTTCTCAGAAACCCTCGCGCCTTCTGAGAGGTTTTGCCTGCCGTCGGAAAAGGCTTCGAAACCTTCTCAGGAGTCCGGGGGACTTCCGAGCCTCCAGCCCCTTCTCACTCCCGCCCCTCGCTCACCGCCGAATCATCATAAACATCAGCTTACTCCCCATCATCCAGGCCCCCACTGACGGAGCGCGCCCGTGCTACGGGCGCGTACCAAAGAAGACGGGGGGGGGGCGAACATGGAAATTTTGAGAGGAGAGGGAAGGGAGAGATCAGATGAACCATCGGCGGTGGTGTTCGTGCTGGGTGGCTCGGCTGTGCGAGCCGTCAGCGGCGGTGTGCGCGCTGATGCGGTTCAGCTGAGGTTGCGGTTGAGGTGCGGTGGCATCACTGCCCTCGCCGGGCAGATCTGGTGACACGGTGGCTATGGCAGGGCTGGCGTTGGCACTGCAGGCTGCGAGCCCGCGGCGGTCGCAGTGGGGCAGCCGAAGAAGTCTCGTGCTACATCATTCGCTGGCCGGGTCGCGCACGCACCGCTGCGGCAGACCCGTTTGGTTCCGAGCTCGTCGCGAATCCGCCCACCCCCGCCGTTGTGCTCCCGCCGAGGAGGTGACGGACAGTGGGAGAGGAGGAATGGGGCGGCGGTCAAACGAAAACGAAGCACGCACTGGCGGCCGACGTGGCGAGGCCAGTCGGCGCGGCGGCAGCTTGGAGGTTGATTACGGACTGGCTGCGGCGCACTTGGGTAGTCTGCTCGGGGGTCGGGAGGGCACTATAGGAAGAATACACCAGCGGCCTTCGTCAACCTCAACCTCGTCAACCTCAACCTCAACCTCGTCAACCTCAACCTCAATCTCGTCAACCTCCTCAACCTCAACCTCAACCTCAATACTAGGGCACTATAGGGCATCTTCCCCGTCAACCCCCTGCAGAGCCCCCCCTAGCACAGGCAGCGCGGGGGCAGGCTAGGCAGGATGGTGGGCTCTCTCGTTCAACGGCGTCGCCTCATGGCAGGCGGGCGCGCCTCCCATGGGTCACCCTCGGTTTCCCGCCGGAGCGGTCGGAGTCGTCGGTGAGCTCTGTCGTGTCGTCCTCGTCCTCCTCGGCGTCGTGCAAGTCGCCGTCGAGATCGTCGCGGACGTAGAGGCTCTGCCCTCGCGCCACCTCCTGCGCCCTCAGCGCAGCTGGCGTGAACTTCGGCGGCTCGATGGGGCGTGAAGCCGGCTGCCCATGGCCCACGTGTATGGGGCGCATCCCTGCACCTCCTCCTCCTCCTCCTCCTCCTCCTCCTCCTCCTCCTCCTCCTCCTCCTCCTCCTCCTCCTATCCTATCCTGACGGCATGAGGTCCTCACGGGTGCTGCCACTGGCCCCCCCTGCAGGTGCCGCCTGGCACTGCAGGAGAGGGGGGCCATTCCGAGAAGTGGCCGATCACCGTTGAAGTTGAGGCGCCGGCGAGGTACGAGGGGGGCCTGCACCTCGAATGCTCGAATGCTAGCGGCCCTGTGTCTGTCCGACGTGGCCGAATCGCGCGGCCCGCGGCGGCCGCCGCGCGCGGGCGCCCGAAGCGGGGACCCCTACTTGAGCCTGCACCTCCCCTCCTCGGCGAGGCGGGCCACGAGCTCCAGCGCACGGCGCTCGGCGGCGCGGGCGCACGCACGCCGCCTCCACGTAGGCGCCTCAGAGCGCGGAGGCGCCCATTTGCTCTGGGTCGCGTCGGAGGCAAGGCCAGTGCTGCTGAGCAAGGGGGCGATGCGTGGGAGGGGGGGCTCCGAGTCGGTGGCCGCCGACCTCGCCGGCGCCCGCCGTGTCGACGGCGAAGAACATGCTTCGAGCCCCTACCAGCCCTTCAGGGCGTGAGAGTGGTTTAGGGCGCCTCCTCCTCCAGCCCCCCTCCTCAATCTTGGGGGACAGGTTTCTACCCCTCCTCCCACCGCTGTCCCCATGGACCTGGACGGAGGGGGGGGCACAACGCGCTAGAGCGTCCAAGGTGGCTTCGGCAAGGAAACTAAAATCATTTATGTTGCTCAAGGTTTGATTACATGTTG